ATGAGTAATTCGTAAGTTTCGCAATGTTTTATTTTCAAATGTCGTGGTTGTATGAGTAAGTAAGTAAGTAAATAGTAAGAGTGACGCGCGTTTTCCTTTCCTTTCATTTCTTTTCATCGTTGAATTCCGCGAATCGAATGAATAGGTAATTATGTTTCTCCCTTCCAACCTTCTGTAATTCATTTAGTCGACGGCGGTCGCGCCCCATGAATATGCATACCTCCATCCATACTCTCACTCCTTCTCACTCTCTCACACACACTTTTTTGTTTTTTACTTTTCTTTTGTTTTTCGCTATCGCCGCCGCCCCCGCTATTTTCATATCGCGTCGCGTCGCATCTAGCGCACGACAGATTCGCAGTTAATTTCACGCTACCAACTACATATATATATATAAATACATAATTCATACGAAACCTCCGATCGATGCGCTTTCATTTTGTTATCATCATCATCATTTCACGATAAACAATAGTTATAAAACAACCAACATAATCCTTATCCTTATTATTATTACTATTACTATTTGCATGTAGCTAGTGTTTCGCATATTTTCTCACGAGTTATTAGCGCGCTTCTCCGTATAACAACAAGTATTTTCCCCCCATTTGTCTCGGCAATAAATTAATGTCCTCCGATCTGCAATGGTGGTGGCGGCAGCAGCAGCAGCTCAGAATTAACGTAAACAACGACTAACGGCGACGCTTATTGCAATTAATGGGAGAACAAACGAACGGAAGAAAAGTTTCGAGGAGTTTCAAGAAATTGTTCCCGGCGCCGCCGCCCACGATTTTCCATTTTTATTTTCTCTCTCTCTCTCTCTTTCTTTATTATTATACCCCATTCATTACCTAGAGTTGAAAGGATTTTTACTTTGCACACAACTCAACCACCACTTCTTCCTCTACTTATCGTTTGGTCCCATTTGATTTGTAGCCCAAAAGTTTTTCCATTACACCTTCAAAACACTAATCCTCGTCTAACACTAATACTCTCCTACTACTCCAATAATAACAATAATATTATATACAAACTTAGACGGTAATTTTCGCGTGCGTTTGTCTCGTTTAAAAATAGCGCGCTCGGTGTAATATCCTCCTCCCTCCTCCTTTCAAACTCACGATCCACATCCATGTGCGTTCCATCAATTTTTGCCCTCGATTCGCGTCGCTCTAAAAAACACACATATTCATTAAATATTTACGAGCGTTCTTCGTTCACGTCGCGTCGCGTTCTCCTTTTTTAATCGCCGCCAAACGACATAAATTATTATTATAAGATAAGGGCTAAAGCCTTAATATACACCTTCAACGTTCTAAAAATAACTTAAATAAGCAAGAATCGATAGAAGAAAATATTTGTGGAATAGGTCAGCGAACGTTTCCATCTGAATCTACACTTATTATTTAGACATCTGTTTTGAATGGTTCTTATTCCATTTCGTATATATAAACAATAAAAACCGCGCGTTCTCTTTTTCGTTTTCGGACGGGAAATCAATAGGAGAAACGAAGAAAGAAACAAGACTAAACTTTCGCGGAAAATAGTTTACTTTATATTCTTCAAACGCAAAGTATGCGTTCGGGAAAATTAATTAATTATATCTCAAGCAGAAATTGCGATGCGTTTAATCCCGGCGCATCCGCCGTAAACATCTGCGCTACTCGAGACAATTAACACGATTTATTATTACCTCTTTTTCGCGAGAGGCTAACAGTTCGTTCGTTCGTTGCAAGCAAGCAAGCAAATTTGATACATCCTTATTGTTTTCGTGACGTGCGGTGCGGCGAGGCGCGGCGCGCGCGATTCACACTGCGAAGAACCTTCGTAAATTGGCTAAAATAAACCTCGCGCGTTCTCTCGAAGAAAACAAATAAATCATCTGTATGCCCATCTCGCTTTGTTAATGTGTATTGGCTACAGCCGCTCCTCTTTCCTCCACTTCCACCTACTTTAGGAGATTTATTTTCGAGGCAGTTAACATTGTAGCTATTCGGAACGTTAAATTCGCTAAAGAATTTCAATGAAACGATGTTTTTTTTTCTTTCTTTCTTTCTTTCTTTATCTGTGTGGAAAACGACAACAGCTATAATAATAATAATAAATGTGATACAAAAAATGTTTTTCTTTATGTGAAAAGACGGTGTATTTCCTTTCCTTTCCGAGGAGGAAAGAAAAAACGAATCGATGCGCAACGAATGCAGAAATGAAAAGGATTCTTCGAGCGAAAGATACAAATTTTATGCAAATGTCGTTTAATTAATTCTCTCTCTCTGTCTCTATTTCTTTTCCGGTTGTGGCACGATTTCAATACGATCGTTGGAATAACAACATAAAAGGAAGGACAGAAATGAGAGGATTTATTCAAATACTTGTTACTTGTAAAGTGCAATGAGTGAGTGAGCGAGCGAGCGAGATTCTGTTATGCGCAAAATAACCAAGTTGATTTGCATTTATATGGAGAGTTGCTGCTACTGCTGCTGCCGTTGCTCGCTGTAAATCAACATTTTGTAAAGGACTTTTATGGCTTTTAATATCGTAACGTGCGCGCGTAACGACGAATAAATCAGGTAGTTAGTACACCCGAACTGTGACTGCCTACTACTCAATGGCAAACACTGAACGGACAACACTAGAATTATTTAATCCACTAAACTAGACTAACGAATGAATAAATCAAATCGAAATGCATTTTCAGCAGCGCAAACTATATCAACTGTACGACTGAAGCAAACAGCAATTGCACTAGATATATTTTTTTTGTGAAAAATAAATTAACAACAAACACAAAATTGATGGTCTCATCGTCCGTTTGTTTCCAAACCGATTTCATTTCGCGTCCACCTCTGGCGATCTCGTTTTGTTTTCAATTATTTATATTGCTAAGCGACCATTTGCTGCTATGGAAATGGGTGCAATTTCGATTCGGAAACAACGTGCAAACAACATCATCATCGCCCGCCCGATGTTTTGTGCTTCGCCGCACGTAAACAATTGTAATTGCTATTTTTGTTTGTACACTGCAAACTGTAATAACGGAAAGCGGTTTTTCGCGATTCCCATCTTACATTAACAACCCCAACCACATCAACCCCTTCATCGCTCAAACCTCAAACACAGTTTGTATCTATCTAGATATCTCTTTTCATCATTCAATGCTGGACGCGATGATATTGGAGAAAACTTTGGTACGAGTGCGGAAAGAGGAGGATCAAAAGTGTTTGTTGTATTGTGTGCGCGAGTGTGTTTAACGAGTAAATAAAGAAACTTTCTTCCTCCTCCCCCACGACAATTCGTTCCATTCACCACCGCGCGATTGTTGTGTGTACCTTTTGCTCATTTTACTCGTTCTCTCACTGTCCGTGACATTTTTTTCCAAAAGATATTGTCGAATTTTCATCTTCGGAGAGGAGAGGAAGAGGATCCGCTTTGAACGCGCCTATTAATACTTCATCAAAGTTAATTAAGCTCATTCATTCAGATTTTTTGTTGCTTTCTTTCCGAGGGGAAAAAATTACTCTCGAGATATGCAATTTAATATTCAGAGATTTTAATTAATCGGCAGCAGCAACTGCAGCAGGCAGATCTACATATATCTTCTCTCTATAGAAAAAGATCTTAATAAATGTTTGCCTAATCGTGTAATTTAATTAATATTGTTGGAGGGTAGATTTTTGTGCTCACTTACCCTCTTCAGCGGATTCGGGAAACAAACTTTGTGGCAATTTCGACCATCGCCGAATGGAGGAGAACAAGAACAAGTGACCGAATTAACTGCAACATGACTCGATCGAAAGTTGCGCAACTAATACTGCAAATTATAACATTAATGAATAAAAGAGTGTTTAATTTTTGGTGCGCGTCGCGTGATAAATGTTTGCCGACGGCGGCGGTAGCGGCAGCGGTCGAAGGGAACAACGATGCGTGCGTTTTGTGCTTCGAATACCGACCCCGACTGGCGAAGGAAGGAACGAAAGGAGAACCGGACGACCGAACCGGAGCGTCGCGGCGCGCTCGGCGTCGTTCCACTCGAACCTCCAATGCTGCCTCCAATTCTCGACCGTACGTATGTATGCGCTTATGTTTTCGATTATGCAGGGCAGGCGGTGGAGGCGGCGGCAGTAGAATACATGCAATTTAACCGACCGTGCGCTGGTGTTAACGACGTTAACATTGCAGCATTCATTCTCTTCCCCGTATCGCCGTCGATTTACCAAATTCGTTCTCGCCTCGCAAATCCAGAAAAAATCCTAATTATTGTATAAAAATAAAAGAAGAAGCGGACTAAGAGATTACGCGCGCGTCGCACTGTTTTTCAACTTTTCCTATTCATCAACCTCGTTAACACAACACAACCAGAAACAAGTTAATTTTCTCTTGGAAATGAAAGACAATTAGATGCGTGAAAAGTAGTCTCATTGCACGGCTCTGGAAACCAATTAAAATTGGTACAAATTCTATAATGGGATTTCAGAACTCGCTCCGACATATGCGTTTTGCGGTTCCTGTTTAATTAATAATAAATAGTTCGAGAGCGGCGAGAGGATGAGACGACGATAGAACGAACAACCGTTTCTGCTGCTGCTGTTGATGGTGTGCTGCAGCGACGTAGGGGTGGAAATTGTGCGGTGGGTGGTGACAGATTCCGATTGTTAAACAGATCATCAACTCCGTCCACCCTCGTGTTTGTATGCATGTGGGAGTTACATATCGTTCGTTAATCCATCATCCATCTCTTTCCCTATACTGCTTATCGCTCGGGCCCTTCAGATTAGCTAATAATTACGTGACACGATACAACAACAACAACAGCAACAATAATAGCAGCAGCAGCAGCCGCAACAGCGAAGGATTCCCGGAATCATTATCGAATTAATCGACAATTAACCGTAACGCTTTGCACACAGTATGTTTGTGCACTCGTGTAATCTGCAGGGATTCTCACAACATCTGATACTGCTGTTGATGCGCTTGAAATGGGGGGGAAACATAAAAATTACCGTAAAGTTGATCTCTCGATTCCTGCCAATACTACACACTCTGTCGGCGCAAAAATCTTGGATCGAACAATATGCAGCACTACGGCGGGTGGGATAATAGAAAAGCTAATAAATGTTCACTAGAAATTCCACTTCGTCGTCGATTATCTTTCTCTCCGCTGCTCCTCGTTGCTAGACTTGAGAGGTTCTCTTCTGAAAAAGAAGAAAATAAGAGGAAGGAATTATTCGCGCAAAACATAGTTCAATTTCCACTTTGGAAAGACCGATGCTTTAAGAGAGCTGCTGTAGAGGATATTTTGTATATAGTAGTAGTAGTAGACAATCAATCATGCATTATTAGTGTTGATTGGTTGTGTTTGATCTATCAATGAAAAGTAATTATAGTTAATTTAGAAAATAACTTGATTGAGACTAATTATAAATTAAATGTACATAACAACATTACTCATTACCTGCGGAATTAATTGAATGAATCATATATTGATTATGGGAGGAACAGCGAGAAAATTATGAACAAAACTACTGGATTAGACTAAGTAATCGAGTTTTGTTTATTAAACAGGTGAATCACGTGAAGGTAATCTAACGGCCTTGCATGAAATCATCATTTATCTTCTATCAACTTTTCTTTTGGTTATGAAAAGTCGGTAAAAAAAAGTATCTTAACACTCAGAAGAAGCGGCCACATGTAAACCACTACGTTAAGTGAGACCGTGGACAAAACAATAAGGAATTTTTATCCCATAGACAAATCAACGTATGATAAATCTAGTGGATCAAAAGGAGATCCGCAGCATATTCTGTATGAAACAGGTGCAACCTCGTGAAGGTCATATGCGAAACGGTCTTGTAACAATTCAGAGGCTGTGTGTTGCGCTTGAAATGATACCTGGTTATCATCTTCGAAAGAAGATGATATACCTTTTGCACCTGGGAATGCGGCCACGTGGAAGCCGTTGCTCTCGTTCACAGCAAATGAGAGCAAACGCGCGACCGCACACCCGGAAGGAATCAAAAAGAAAATAGGGAAATTTAGGATAAAAGGAAATGCTATAATCTAGGTACCTGAAAGGGAACGTAACGATTAGTGACATGACATACAACAACATTAAATCAATCCTGAAACAGAAGAACACATAGAAATGACACACACCCGACCGAAAACATGAACGAAATATAAGTTTACACAATCTATAAGATCGTATTAAAAAATACGATACACATTTATAATTACAATAAAAATAAAATTGCATTGCACATTGAACATCATTATAATATTTAACTGGAGAGGAATTAATGGAACGTCCATTTTCTCTCTCATCTTTTTTATTTATTTGTTTATTTTATCATTCTTTTGTTCTTTTAATTTTAATTTTGTTTTAATATTGTTATTAATCCATATTTTATTTATTATTTTTTTGTATGTTTCTATTTGTTTATACATAATATTTTATTATTATTATTTAATATT